AATAACCATTGAATTGAAGAAGGAAATTGTAGAAAAGCGTGAGCGTGGTATTCGTGTGACTGATCTGGCCTCGGAGTACAAGTCGACAATCTTGACTATTTTGAAGAATAAAGATGGTTTAAAAAAAATACATATGGTTCAAAATGGATTAACCTTATTTACATTGAACCTTATGGGAAAATTTGATTTGGTTCACGACCAATTCGGCTCGCGACCAGAATTGTGGAACAAATTAAGTTCGTGAACCGAGGTACCACTGTATATCCAAATAAAGAGGGCAGACATTCAGGTCTATATAGTAGTAAACTCTCCCTCAATCGCACTTAAATTTCTCCTGAAAATGTGGATATGAAGTTGCTTTCTTGGCACAGTACAGATGAGACCATTTCCTTCTTCTAGAGTGTTTTTTTCATATCCCTAGTTCTGGCATTTCCTGGTGCTCTCCCATGCAAGTACTAACTAGATCTGATCCTATTTAGCTTTTTCAAGATCAGCTAAGTGCTACCACTTACTGTGACAAGGTTCATATACTGAGATTTGAGGAAATGCTATGTTTTAGTTCCCCGTCATGGCAGCTGTTCTGAAAATTCTTCTAATGTTAATGCTCCTCTATTCCCCCAGGCTCAACTTCCATCTCTACTCTAATACCAATTCTACATTTTAATCTGACATATAAACGTTGTGCAATAGCAGAAATCCTACCTTCTGGAAAAACATCTGGTGTTCCCAGGTGCAGAGTTGCACGTCCCAGAGACATTGCAGTGAATCTGCTGAACCACTCAGCAGCCATTTCTCTCCATGGCTGGTCTTCAGGCAGGTGATGCAGCTGCCATGAGCTTCTAGAGGGAACACGTGGGCCTCCGAGCAGTAATACATGAAGAGCTCCCCATTGGTCATTCCATAGAGCACCCGGTATCCAGACAGAAGAGCCACACTAGAAATTGTTGCACCGGGGATCTGTGTGTAAAAGGTATAGGCTGGCCGGTCAATCAACAGGCCCACTTCTTCCTGATGCAGATCTAGTACCTGCACAAGATCATCACAGGCAGCTGCCAGCTGATCTTCATTCTGAGTGAGTGCCAAGTTGCAGACAGGTTTTTGGTTCTCTGAAGGAGGGATGCAGCCAACATCTTGCCTGGAGTCCAAGGGAAACACCAGCACCGTTCCAGAAGCCAGTCCAACAAAGAGAAGATTCCTCTGCTCGGCCACTTCCAGGCACTGGACTGGAGCTGATGCATCCAATTTATCATACTCCTTCCCTGGTGGAAGACCAATATCAGCAGGCGCTGCCCATCCTTCCTGTTACTGGGTTACTGGAATTGATGCCCAACCTCTGCATCACCCAACAGTGATCAGCAACCAAGTATGCTCCATTGTCTCCCAGATACAAAACAATCAGAGGAGCAGACGTTCAGGATGGGGGGAGGGGGGAGGGTAGCAGGAAGTACCTCTTCACCCATACACGATTAAGCTACAAAATTCACTTTTGGAATGGCGGCCAGTCTGGATGGCTTTAAAAGGGAGCTAACAAGTTCATGAAGGAGAAAGACTATCATGGCTGAGTAATCCTGGTAGCCATTTCTGTCTCTACATTGGAGACAAGAGATTATCTCAATACCATTTGCTGGGAAACACAGGGCAGGCAGTACTATTGCCCAGAGGGCCAGCTTCCTGTTAACAGCTAGTTAGTCCCTGGTCAAAATGGATTATATTGCCCTTGTGGGTCAATCCAGCAAAATTCTTAGGTCCTCATGAAAAGAATCACAGAGGGAGGAAAAACCACACGCTTCAAACCTATTCCACAGGACTATGGAGGAAGAGAGAAAAAAGCATGTATGTGTATGTGTGTGCGCGTGTGTATGTAAAGATACATGCGCATACTTTTCTTATTGTTCAGTATTAGGATATTAGTTGTTATATTTCTGTAACTGAAGTTTTCAAATGTAGTTTTATTCTTACTGATATTTTAAAATCCATAACCTCCACAAAGTCCATGAGGTTTGAGGGAATTGATAAATTGCATAAATAAATAAATAAATAAATAAATAGCATAACAAATAAATAAAATTAAGCTACATTAGGGACAGAATTATGTCCTTTTCCTCCTTTTCTTATTCCCCCTCCTTGTTTGAATGCCAGGCTGCACTCCACCCTCCCATATCCTAAAGTGTTCCTTAATTTTAAATAAATAAACAGATGGATGGATGGATGGATGGATGGATGGATGGATTGAATGCTGGCATCTTGTAAAAAAAAATTGCAGAGTCCCTCATCAGTTTTATGTCCAATAATGCTTCTGAGTGTTGCATCAGCTGCATAGCATTCTCAGAAAATAAAACGGGTGGGCTCCTATCTGTGGAGGATACTGGGGTCTGGCTATCAGAGGGACCATATCTACAGTTATAGGGCTATCTACAGTTGTCTCTGCCCATCTGGTTTGGTCAGATAGGTGGGTGTATTCCAGGTCCCATCAATTAAGCAATGATACTGGCAATGGTGGAAAGAGAGAGACCCAATCCTTGGAGATATAATCTAATCAATCTGCTTTCTGGTAAGTCACTTTGTGAGTGGGTGAGACTCTCTATTACAGCCATTTTGTAATAGCCCTAACATGCTCTCCAAACTCCAGATGTGCCCACATGCCCCCAAAGTTTGCCTTCTTCTGTTCTGGAGCATCTGACCCAAAGTTTCTCTGCTAAACATTTCTGCAGGTGTATCACTTACCTGCCTCTGTGTCCCAAATGATAACATTAGAGCTGTAACAGTCTTGGGGAAAATAGATATATTTGGCATTGTGAGAAAGCCCAATGCAGCTCTTGCTTGCCATACAAGGTGGGAGTAGTTTGTGCTTGCGATCACAGCTGAGGTCCCAGACTCTGAGATGAGATGCGTGGCAAGAGGCTGACACCAGCGTGACATCCCAGAGAGCCAGGTGTGTGGAAGGCATCCCTGTATCACTCAAAACATCTGTCAGCAAACCCTGTTTGGCTAGACACCACACCTAGGTAGAAGAAGTAGTATACTAAGGAAGGAGACAATTTCATAGCTTGGTGGGGCTCAACCAACAAAGCAAGATTAGGAGCTAGGAACTAGAGATAAAGATTTGGATATCAGATGCTAGAAAAGTGCTCTGATTCTTCAGCTTAAGGGTAGTAAAACTTTATAGCTGTACTTTGTATAACACGATCCTATGTATTTATTTAAAAGTTCTTCCCAATTAAAAATACTTCTGGAATGGTGATAGGCAACCTGTCCTCTAGACCAGTGTTTCTCAAACTTGGCAACTTTGAGACATGTGGGCTTCAACCCCCAGAATTCTCCAGCCCCATGCTAACCCCCACATGCAGTTGTGACTGTGTGATTGAAGCCTCACCCCTTTTTACATGCATCATGTGTGTGACATGTACCTTCAACCATACAGTCATCAACTTGACTTCTTTGTCTCCACCGTCATCGGATGTCCTTGCCTCAGTCACATGTGAAACATACCTGTTTAGCAACATTACCCTATGCCATTTGTGGCCTCTTACCCATATGCATTCATCCTGGGAGCTTGTGACGATGGTGGCATTGTCTGCTGAAATAGCAGCTGCACAAACCTCAGCAGAATGCAGAAGATCTGAGCCCAGGAGTTGGTGGAATCCAGTCACATTGCCCAGGAAAACTCTTACACAATGCCCAAAACCTGGAATAATGCAGTATGCACAAATGAGATAGTAGCATCCATAATAAATGCAATGATGTTAAAATGATGATGCAGGCATGATGGTGTCATCATGAAAATGACACAGTTCCATACCTGCATCACAGCCTCTGATGCAAGTATGTAGGTCATGGGATTTGCATGATTATAACACCTCATAAGTGTCATCATTTGCCCCTTCCCCCCATGGATGACCATGCAATGAGAATGTCCTGGCTTCACCTGGGAAGATTCTTCAGAAGAGAAAGATGAACCAGGTTTTAGCATTGCACTGGTCACAATCACCCCACCTTAGCTTGTGAATATCATGGAGGATTCTGATGGAGACTCAGTGCACTCGTCCAACCCACCCAAATGGCACAGCGGGGACAGCATCACAAAGCAGAGAGATGATCAAACACCTCTTGCAAGAGAAAGGACTTTGGGCATGAGGTCTACCTATCCATAGCCCAAAGTGCTGGTTGATTCTGCAGCCTTCTCAAGATTTATGAGGACCAGCTGAATTAAGGCAGAGGAAACTGCTAGCATGGATGGATTTGGAAACAGGTGCATACCAGCTGAGGAAGGACAAGTGTGCTACCTCTTCTACTACTTTGCCTGGGAATAGTTTATTGTTGGAAAGAGTGTTGATTGCTTGTGAGTTTGTGCAATGGGCCTTGTACCTCAAATCCTGGCTACCTTGATGGAACCCAGGAGACAAATTCTTTGCCTCCTGGACCCTGACAGGAAACTTGCATAGGATTCAGATTGATTTAGCTTTGGGCTTTTGGGCTGACTTCCGTGTATGTCTCTCTGAGTAAGTCATTTTGGAATTTACCTCAGACTATGCCACAAAGTTTTTGTCATTCCAATTCCTTAACTCAACCAAGAGGAAGATGGAGTGAGAACTCAGATGCCAGGTTCTGCTCTGGCACTCTTTTGTGTGCAAAAAGTTCCTTGCACTGGCAAACAACCCAACTGAACCATGGCACGTGCATCTATATAGACACACATTGTTGCCAAGAATTTAAGTAGATACCAGACACCAGCAATCACTGTTTTGGTTTTCTTGGATTTAAGAGAGGGCTTTGTGGGCAGACCAGCTATGTCTTGGAGGTGGACTATGACAGGGCTATGCTTAGTGCCCTCCCTAGTTCACCCCTACTAACTTTATTTTTTTTTCTTTTTCTTCTTGTTATTTACAAAATTAAACGGGAAGCTGGCATGAGCCAAAGCACCAGAATCTAGCGTCATCTTGATTTATCAGAATGCCTCCAGTCCCAACATAGATCCACACTTTAGGTGCTAAGCTGCTAAAAAAAAAAGAAAGACAAAGACAAAGTAACTAGAATATGGAAGGCATTTGGGTCTGGATGGTTAGAGACCATGGAGGGAACCTTCTAGTGAATGGGTATTATAATGATTGGCTGCAGCCATTACAGCAATCATTTTGTAGGAACGTCCCAGCATTGCATTTTACCTTCTTGTATTTATGTATTTATTTAAACAATTTATATGGCTGCCCAACTCACTCATGGTGACTCTGGGTGGCTTACAAAAATAAAAATCCCAATATAAAACCCACTCCACCCTCCCACCCCCCTAGCGACAACAGTACATCATTGTAAGCTGTAAGGAGTCTGTATGATTTGGCGGTAGACAGATTTAAACAATAATAACTACAGCAACATGTCCTGAAAATTCCAAATGTGCCCGCTGGCCAAAAAGGTTGCTAGTTTTTGCCAAGGGTCAAGTGATTAAAGCCAATCTTCTAGGCTTACAGAGATTAGAAGATCAGCAGTAGCCTCTGCCAGCTACTCTGTTGATATGATGCAGCTATTAAATGACATGATTAAACAATGTAGGGTAAGAGAGCAGGAACTTCATTCAAACCTGTTGCCAGGAGAGATTCGTCTTTTGAAAGCACCACAAAGCAGATCCCTTCTGGGAGCTTTTCCAGCAGGCTGTGTCCATCAGAGGAGATCTGTCAAGAGAGGGAGATGGTTTGGGTGGAATCCCACTCCCAACCTGGACATTTTAGCCTCTCTCTTGGATGTACAGATAGGGTGGGAGAAAGTCCAAGTACCTTCTGATCCCATGGAAGAGTTACAACTGTGGAAATATGATGTTCTCTGTGCCCTAAATCCAGTCCTTAGTATCTCCAAGAAGGGCCAGGAAACTGCTGCTTACAAACCTGAGGAATTGTATCTAATCCATGTAGGGCATGGATGGAAAACCTGATGTCCATGGATCAAATGCAGTACTCTTTTTTTCTGAGGCTTCCAAAGCCACTATAAATCATGCTACGTTTTTAATGGCAAACCACCAAGCGAAAGCAAGGTGAGTGGCTGGTATTTTTTTTTCCCCACGAGAAAAACAAATGAAAACAGCATGTCAGATGTTGCTCAGCCATTACATCTCCAAACAATAAAGAGTAATGCCCCTCACATCACCTTCTGATGGACATCTGGCCTCACCCACTGCTATCTTCAGCTGCGAAAAACAGTTCCGTAAAATAACAATATCCTCTCTGACCATAATTGCCAGAAACTAGTGGCACAGTTTTCTATTACTGGGACCAGAAATACATGTACTGCAGTCAATGTCCTGAAATGGGCTTAGTACAATGTTAAAAACAGTCAAGGAATCTCTTCAAATGTCCCTCAGAGCCAGAGGGCATGGAAATGACGAAAAATTATCTCACTGCACTTCTAGGTGAGAGATGTATTTGAGTGGAGAAGAATCCGGCACTTGGTGTTATGTTATGGCAGTGTTTCTTAACCTTGGCAACTTGAAGAGGTGTGGCCTTCAACTCC